TCTGAGGTTCCCTTACTCAGAGGATGAAGACCAAAACTTTGGTTACTTCTGTAAGCTATGTTTGAGGTCTCCTTGGGCTCAAGGGTCAGGCCAGATCATGTAGGCCATGAGAGAAGGTCTTCAGGTTCCTTAGTTATTTAAACAAAAACAGATAGTCTAGGGTCCTCTTGGACAAAGGAGAAGGTCTGAATGCCTCTTCATCAGTAAAGGGAAAACTCTGAAGTGACCTGGGCATGCTAATAAGTGACTGACATCATCCTCTCTGACATAGGGTGCACTTACCTACATGTAGGCAGTACACACATATACATGGGGGAAGAATGATAAACAAAATGTTTTAAAAAATCCTCAGACATTCTATTTTACACAAAGGGGACCTCATACATTGGTCTCTCCTAAGGGTCTTTAGATCTTCCATGAAGGGGACTCTGTCCTACTATGTCTGAGCAAGGAAGTGGCAAACTTTGTCCCTCAACGCAAGAACAATTGACACATATTACCCACGAATACCCCATCGTATTGAGAGTTTGAGGAAGAAATGGAATCCACAATTTTCTTCTGGCCTGTAAAGGTGAACATGGGTAACTTTACATATAGCCACAGACACATTATAATAACACATTTTTAATTTAAAACATGCACCGGACTATCAATTTACCAAGTCTTTTCAGGTGCAGTTTATAAATCCCTCCCTGGTGCCAAGGAAATACAGAGTCGCGTCCTCAGGAGAAGTTCCCACCGGATCACAAGCTCCCAGCATTTCTAACCCAGGAGCTTCTGTGATGCTCTGAGAATGTGTAACCCATGGACCCTAAATTGTTGGTTCTGCACGGTTACCATGAGGCATGTGGGAACATGAGTGCCATGCGCCTTTAGTGGGAAGTGGGTAAAACTGACCATGTTCCCTAGAACTTGAATAGGATCAGAACTGTTTTCTCGTGGGTAGGTAGGGTGGATGCCACCTCCTGAGTTCACAGCAGATAAATCCAGCAGTTTGCTTCCAATCCTGTTACCTAGCATGTCCCTCTAAAGCCGCACGAGTCACTGTCACAGAGGCACAATTACGTAGGCCAAGATGGTCAGGTGCTCGGGATTCACAGGCAGCGGTTATGTAAACAGCCACAGAAGGATGCTATCCTCTTGGATTACCATTGTCCAAGAACAGCCTCTACCTGAAAGACCAGCACTAGTTGACTGGAGTCAATACACTAATGAACATAAAGTAGAAAAAAACAAAACAAAACAAAGTTCATCATGTAATAAAGTATACACATTCACAGATTTTATCTATCTATCTATCTATCTATCTATCTATCATCTATCTATTATCTACCTATCATCTATCTATCTACCTATCTATCATCTATCTATCCATCCATCTACCTATCTCTATCATCTATCTATCTATCTACCTATCATCTATCCATCCATCTACCTATCTCTATCATCTATATATCATCTATATATCCATCCATCTATCTCTATCATCATCTATCTATCTATCTAATATCTATTTATCTATCTATCTATCTATCTAACATCTATCTATCATCTATCTATCATCTATCTATCCATCTACCTTCCTATCATCTATCCATCCATCTACCTATCTCTATTATCTATATCTATCTATCTATCTATCTATCTAATCTATCATCTATCTATCTGTCATCTACCTGTCTATCTATCTATCTATCTACATATCTATCATCTATCTATCTTATATCTATCTATCCATCCATCTATCTCCTCTATCTATCTGTCTATCTATCTATCAATCTATCTATCTATCTATCATCTATCTGTCATCTATCATCTATCAAATACAGAAAGCACTTATCTCCATTTGGAACAAGGCACATGTTAGGAAACTTGAGTAGAGATTTAATGTGCCATGTCCTCTTGTGTGGATTTTGAGTTTCCCATGTTATGTAGGACCGTTAAGGAGGATTTCAGGCCTCCATAGTGAGATGGAATATGGCTGACATCTCCCTGGGAAGGAGGGATATTACAAGCCCATTTAGTTAGAGACGCACTTTCAAGGCTATCTTGGCAGAAGAGGAAGGTTTGATGATACCTGGTGAGGGAAAACTTCTGATGCCCTAAGTTAGACGGACCATGTTTTGGGTCCTGTTGGGCAATAGGAGTTGGTATGAGGCTCATTTCTTCATAGGAGTAAAGGCTGAGGTGTACTAAAAAGAAGCCCTAAGTGTATGGCCCCACAGTGGTCAGAATGTGCATGCTATGTGCCCTCTTTGTCAGAAGGGAAGATGCACATAGTAGGTTGACCAAGTTAGATCTGAGACCTCTTTGGTCAGAGTGGGCAATATTTAAGACCCCATAGGTTAGATGGGGAAATTATGGGGTACCTCTGATCTGAGTGTGCAGATGTGTAGTTTCCTTGGTGAAAAGGGAAAGATCAAGGCCGTTTTAAATAGAATATGTTTGAATCATCATTAGGTACAAGGGGAAGGTCTCAAGTCGACCTTGGCTGTGGGGAAGGTCACAAGTCTCTTGAGTAGATGAGACAACATTGAGGCCTCAATACCAGAAGGGGAATGTCTGAGGTACCCTTGGGCAAGGATGAAGTCCGAAGCCCACTTAATTAGAGAAGGGAAAATTCCCATGTGGGCTGGCAGAGTAAGAGAAGCCCAAGAA